TTGCAAAACATAAGTGGCTTTCAAAGGTCACATAATTCTGTCTCTGTGGTTAGTAGCTGCACACAGGGTAATGCCTGTGAACGGTTATATATCTTCCAGTTAAACCACTGAACAGAGCACTCAGTGTCAGAAATCTTAGTTGATGACTTGCAGAACTGGGTTAGAAAATGGAGAGACAGATACACTTCAACAGATTTCATACTCTTTCTTTTGGCTCCCTATAGCAGAGGGTCTACTGGAATCTGTCCTTCTATTCAAAAATAGAAAAAGCTAATTTAGGATGGGTTGGACCAAGGCAGCTTCTATAAGGAGAAATACCTATCTGTGTATAGTCACTGAATAGTCAGTGGAGAGAAATAGGCTCTCCCAGACAGTAAGTCATCTGCTGTCTTTTAGATACGTGTCTTAGGGTGAGATGAATCACCTCTCTTTCTGCGGTGACTGAGCCAAGCGTAGCTAGACAACCTCTCGCTTTTAAGGTAGTAAGTTTGGTAAGATTAATCCCACTCCCCAAGATTATTTTTATTTCCTGATGATATAGTATGTTTTGCCTTTGATCTGTTTTGGCAAATAAAACATTTTGGAGGGAGGCATCTGCAGCAGTCCTGACTCATACAAGGTTCACATTGACTCCAGTGGGAGAACAGGGTGAGAAGACACTGCAGGACTTACCTTCCAGGAAGTGAAGTATTTTACTGTTCCTTATCCTCGTTAGAGACATTTTGTTCTACCTTTCCATTCCCTTTAATCACTGGCTAGAGATGATGCCAGCAGACAGTTAGGTATTATCCCCAGGGCCTATGGATTGTCACAGTAAATTCTGTGAAAAGACATAGTTTGATTAATGTGTACTGCAGAAGCTGAAGCCATAGCTCCATAACAGAAAAATACTAACAATCAACTATTGCACTCTGTCCCTTTTATTTGGCAATGTAATGATTTTGTCATTTTATTTGTAATGCAAGCAGTTGAACTGATGCCCAGCAGAGCTGCAGCAGAGGAGAGGGGACCTGGCCAGTCGCTGTTGCTGCCCCACAACTTCTTTCCTGCCTTGGCCTCTTCAATAGCAGCAGGAGCAACAGGACTGAGCACAAGGCTCGGAAAGCTGCTGGGAGGCTTTCCGACTCCTGCCGGGAGCTAAAGGACTGGATTGACCCCATCCCTCCTCCATGACTATTTGTGAAATCCGTTCCTTATTTCTCTTAGCAGCCTATGTAACTTATATTTTAACTTGGCAGCTGTTAAGACTCTTGGTGAATCAGCTTAGCTGTTTACTAGTACACCCTCCCACCACAGGCAAGAATCTTGACAGCTCGCAAGAGCTTTACAGATAATGTAGACAAACTGCTGAGCTCAGAGTCCTGCCATGACCAGGATAAAAATTGTCCCTCGATTTGAGTGGCGGGATGTTTTTTTGAGGATCCAGGTGTTTGTCTGATGTAAAGACTCTGCGAGGGATTTTGCTGGCCATGGCCTTCGCAGTGTCTACCAGTGGCACCAGGCTGTTGTCGTGGGCTCCAAACATCTAGAAGTCCACATGTCCATTGACTTCATTAAGCTGTGTAACACGTACGCAAGTCTGATACCTTCCAAAAGCTGCTGTTGAACTTGCTACTGATGTGCTCGGTCAGCTCAGAGTGTACGTGAATGGTCCCAAGTGCCGTGGGCAGTCGTCACTTACCCTCCGTGCTGTGAACAGCCTGTGTATTCAGCGCTTCCCTGGAAATCCCAGGCTGGCTTGCTAACCCTGTACAAGTGCAGACCACAAGAATGTCCCATGGCTCAGAGAATATTTGTCTCAACACAAAATGAGAGACAACATACAGACTGTTAGAGGACTACAGGGAAACATTCAAAAAAATATAGAAGTCAGTCAAACAGCTGTTAGGCTTAGCACACCAGCAGCTCTAAGTTTGCTGCAATTCTGTTGATCTTACGTGGGCTTTTAGGAGGATAATGAAGTAGCTCACAACTGCCAAGGGCCAAGGACGAGAAATCTCAAAGTCCTTTGAGAATCGAAGAACTGGGTGATGAGGATTGCTGTGATGGGTTGATCGGAGGTAGAAGCTAACATCTTCGTGCCAGAGGAGAAATGTTAAGCGGACTGGCGTATATACTTAAAAGCATTTTGGAAAAGAAGGAAGAATACTGATGCCCAATGTAATTGCACACACCAGCTGTTTTAAAACTGGTATATTGTTTTTCGGACAAACATTCCGTTTTATTTTGGACCTCACCTATCCCTAGTGAGGTCAGTGCTGAAACTTTTCTTCCTTTGGGTTCTGCTTTGTCTATGTGTTTCTTCATTTGAATGATCCCTGTCTGTGGTATGAGGATCCACTTGACATGGATTGGTAGCAGAATGAGGCCTCTGGTGACTCATGCTAGGCATACTCAGGCTGCTTCCTCTCCAGAATTTACATGGGATGGATGTTTCCCAGTCTTTCTAACTCTCTTTAAAGAAAATTAATGTAAATTCTTGCAAACACAGTCTCCTTTCTTCGGCAGGGCAGTACTTAGCAATCCTACTGCTATCACACTCAACCCAATCTACAGAGAAGCATGATTTAATACTCTTTTTTAATGGCGATATCTTATGCTGCTTGCCTCATTGTATCAGTAAACATGTTGACAAGACTGCAGCTGTCTTTTGTAAATTAAGAAGTTCACCCCTGTGTGAAATCCAGCTCTGTTGAGGCGTAGCACAGACATGGTGAATAGTGGTGAGCTGGGCTTCTGCAAACGAACTGACATTGCTTCTTACAGCATCACAGTCAGATTTTCTCACTTTGACATAATAGCCCCACGTAATTCTCCTTTCCTAGCTCCGAGTTACCTTTTTGACAGCCTCTGCATGAGGCACTAGATTTGCTTCCGACTGATTGAGGCCAAGTAAATCACAAATCACACTGTCACATCTGGGAATTCATGAGTTTTCAGCTCTGTAAAAGTACTTCGCCTCTATGAACTGACAGGCTAAACCATATGTTTATTGGAAAGAAGGTCAAGGTTTGACAAAATCAGATTTTCTATTTATTGCTTTTTATCTGATCTAATAATTTTTAAAGTAGAAAATATCTTCTCTGAATAGAATGGAAACAATTAAATGAACCGGTTACATTTCCAGTAGAGTTTAATAATGTCTGTTACATTTCACACTTCCATGTAAGGCATATCAGCTTAATTAGGAAAATAAAGCGCAAAGTATGACTTGTTCCCTTCTCCCAGTATAGAACTTCAGTGTTTTAAAAAGCCCAAAAATGGTCTTTTGCTTTGAAAATATTGTTTTACGTAAGCAAAGGATTTAGCTATGTGTTTGGGTTCTTCTTGTTGCTGTTATTCATGAAGCAGACCAGCTCTCTTCCAGCCCTCACCCTTTCTTTTGTATGTCAAGTTTTCCACTGCCAGAATGTGTCATCCCTCACCCAGTCGGTTGTCCTTGGTTGTTCTGAGTTGGTTTTCTGTGGCTGCAATTGTATATCTTGCCCATGAGATGATTAATACAGCCCTGGAAGTCAGACATTCCTCTTAATAGCATGTACAGCTAGTACTTTCCTTCATTCTAGGGAAAGTTTTTATCACCTGTATCTTTTAGTCAGAGGCTGGACTGAAAACTTTTGTTGAGGCAAGCGTGGTAGTAATAGAGATCCCAGCCAGGAGGTAAATTAGGCATGGAAGTGATATGGATGCAAGGGCTCTGTGAGTGAAAGCTGTTTTCTGTGCATAGTTCTGGAGGCAGCTGTTTGATGTACATGTATTGTGCAGACCATCTCCTATCTTTCAGGGGAGATAAAACCATAGAATCACAGAATGGTTTGGGTTGGAAGGGACCTTAAAGATCACCTGGTTCCAAGCCCCCCTGCCATGGGCAGGGACACCTTCCACCAGACCAGGTTGCTCAAAGCCCCATCCAGCCTGGCCTTGAACACTGCCAGGGAGGGGGCAGCCACAGCTTCTCTGGGCAACCTGTGCCAGTGTCTCACCACCCTCACAATGAAGAACTTCTTCCTAATGTCTAAGCTAAATTACCCCCTTTCAGTTTGAAACCGTTACCCCTCATCCCGTCACTACATTCACTGCTAAAAGGTCCCTCCCCATCTTTCCTGTAGGCCCCCTTTAAGCACTGCAAGGCTGCTGTAAGGTCTCCTCAGAGCCTTCCCTTCTCCAGGCTGAACAACCCCAACTCTCTCAGCCTGCCCTCAAAAGGGAGGTGCTCCAGCCCCCAGATCCTCTTCATGTCCTTCCCCTGGATGTGCTCAAGCAGGTCCATGCCTTTGTTGTGCTGGAGGCCTCAGAGCTGAACACAGCACTGCAGGTGGGGGTCTCATGAGAGTGGAGCAGAGGGGGGAGAATCACCTCCTTTTACCTGCTGGCCAGGCTGCTTTTGATGCAGCCCAGGATGTGGTTGGCTTTCTGGGCTGTGAACAGACACTGCTGGGTTACATTGAGCTTCTCATCAACTAACACCCCCAAGTCCTTCTCCGCAGAGATGCTCACAATGCTTGGCTAGTTTTCACTTCCTTATCCAGGATATTTTCATACAAGGTAATTACCAATATATTGGGGCTTTTAAAAGTATTCTTGTAACATTCCTGTGGCATGCCACAGTAACTGCTTTTTTTCCTATGATGTCCTGCAGGCAGCATCCGTGTGACAAGAAAACCACTTAACAATGAAAAAATTCACACTGTTTGATTTTGTAAATGATAATTCACTGCAAATTGGAGAGACTTCATGGATACAGGACCTTCCCAGTGATGACGATGAACTAGAAAGACTTCTGAAACCAAATGAGCACGTGCTAGTAAACTGGCCTGTGGGAGAAAGAAAGACAGAAAAGCACCTGGTGAAAGTTGTGTACATGAGTGGTGAGTGCAGCTCCAGAGCATTTGTCTGATATGAAATTTTAATCTAGTTGTAAGGTATTGCTACCTGATTTTCTGTGCTTTAGCCTTTTTTTTCCCATCACTTCAGATGACCCCCAGGAGCTGGTGGAAATGATGCAAAAGATATTACGAGCAGATGAAATTACAAAAATACAAGTCCTTGGAAAAGACAAAAGGAAGAGGATAGAAATGATATTCTCAGAAAGTGAGGACAGTGACCTGGATAAAGAACAAGTGAGTTTCTGTCTTTATGTGCCTGATATTGGTAAGCCTATAACGGAATGTTATAGACTGTAACTATTGATTCTTCACAATATAATACACAAAATATGTCTAGTGAAGGTAGGAATACAGGCAGTCTTCACATGGTACCTCAGCACAATAACCTGTCAGAGTAATTAGCTAGGCCAATAGATTTTGTCCTTTGCTATTTAAAGAGAAAAGTGTTACTCAAGATTGGGATGCTCTGTGGCTGCATTGCATTGTCTCCCATAAAACAGAAATCTGACCACCGCATAAGAAAGGGGAGGGACCAGGTTTTCTGAGCTTTGAATTGTGCTGAGATCTACAGTGACAAAATGTAGTGAAAGAAAACATAAATCTTAACAAAAAGTTACAAACATATTTTTCCAAAATACTAACTAAGAATGTCAAGCGCACAGTGAATAAAAGTTTATGGTATACTGTGATGAGAGGCTCTATAGGAATGCAAAGGCACTATTATGCTCTTGTTCACAGGGGAAGATGATGAAGCACATAAAAAGAAAGAAGTCATTGCAGGCATCTGCGCCTGCCAACATCCTGAGTCAACTTGAAACATCTTTAATTAACAAACAGGTAAACAGCTCATCTTCGGCAATTTTAATGTATTAAGCAAAAGCAAACTGAACGGTATTTGTTTAGGGGGACATAAGGCTTTTAGTTTAGTGAACTTAAAAGACACTACCTTAGAAAACTGGTGAATGGAGAAAAGTACCTAACAGTTACATATTACACTGACATTCCATTTTTAATAGGAATTTCATAGGAGTGGTAATAGCTATGTTCAGCAACAGCTATTAATAAAATGCACTGTTTATACATTCTGTGTACAAAGAGAATATTCTGATTTAGCTAGATATTTTAATGTTAGTTTTAAGGCTTTAATTTTATGTTGTTGTTGCTCTAGATAGCACAGGTTTATTTTTTTTCAGAGAGAACCGTATTCAGGAAGCAACTTTCTGTACAGTGAAAGTAGCAGTGATGATGAAGAGCCTTTATTTCAACTTTCCAAGGTAGAACTGTGTGCCAAAATAAAAAGTCTGAAGAGGAAGCTGACAGACACCATGAGAGAAAACTGCCGCCTAAGGCAGTCCTTGGTGATGCTTCAAGGTAAAGTCAGGGGAATTATTTTGATGAAGAGGAAAGCCTGAAGGTCATGAAAAGCTTGATTTATAAGAGGCCATTTGGATGGGAATTATGGATGCTCAAGCACCTGCCACGATCAAGGCCTACCATTAGCGTCAAAGTCTTTGATACATGGCAACATTTAATTCCATCAGCACTTAGAAAAAACTATCTTACACAGAGGCCATGCAATCATAGCGTTAGAAATGGAAAAATCTGTCTAAATCCTGTCAGTTGTTCCCAAGAGAACCTTTCTGTATGCAGTGTATAACCATCGGCTGAGCTCAAACACGCCACTGACCAGTCCAGCTAACCTTATTTATTAGCAGTCTTTCTTGATCTACTCAAATTTTATTTAGTCTGGAATTATTTCATTTCTAATTACTTTGGTAATTGCTCATTATTGGTGATCTGAGTTAGTTCCAGGTGCAATAAATTTAGTCCTTTCCCAAAGGTGAACCATTTTGTTCTTTTGTAAATGAATCCTTCATCACTTCATGATCATCTCTGAAACCCCTGTTACTTGTCCTTGTCCCTTACTCTGGGGCAGCCAAGACTGAATCCAGAATTTCAAAACATTAGTGAATGAGAAAGGTTTAAGGAGGATTTGCTCCATCCCTTGCCAGCTACATCACACCATCCCTAGACAGCCCAACATCTTTTTTTTTTTATTATCATGAGTTTGCAAGTGCTTATCAGTTTCATTGCCCACCTGATTCCATTCCATATGTTACTCATCTTGGTTTGAATCATTCATCTCCACCTTTTTGAATATTATTTTTAAACATTTTGTTAGTGTTTGACAACTTTTCTTACACGTTTTAAGTCCATTTGCCTTGCATCTTAAGCACTTTTTAAGTCTTTTACAGTATTTTCTATAATTTAGTGATTCTTTATCTTCTGATTCTTCATCCCTTGCATCCTTTTTGCTCTGAATTGACTCTTCTTAATGGTCTCAATAAAAGTTTGTATTTGAAAATAAATATTACTTGGAGAAGAGGTTATTTAAAAGATATTCTGTATAGATTAAAAAAGAGGGGAAAACAGTCTATGCAGGCTATGTAACTTCTTTGAAGCAAAAAACACCAAGCAGACATAACATTACTTAGCCCATATTCAATAGCTTACAGACTTGTAGAGGTTTTGAGATAGCAAAAGGAAAAAAGAGAAATAGCCCGCTTAGTGCCATGATGGGCGTAAACTAATGATTCCTCTTAGCCTTGCAGAGAACTGATCTATCCTACTCTAGAAACAGAGGCCAGATTTTCGTGGGTGGGGACAGCAGAATGTCAGGAAAACATTTGAGAGAACAAGATAAAATTATGTTAAAGTGTCTTTGCTGACTACTTTGACTCTTTTGCATTATGACAGGAACTGATTGCAAAAATATACAAGCTTACGTAGGTAGAGTCTGAAAGCTTCAATTACTGTTTTATCCCTCACTTTGCATTTGATTTCAGTGTTGCCACAGGCAGTCACCCATTTTGAGGAACTGGTTGGGATGGCTGAAGCGCTGCTTAAAGGGGGAGTGACATCATCTACATCCAGTCTGCATTCACATGCTGTTTGGAAAGCATCTAACAATCCGTTAGCGGATTCATATGCAGCTATGCATAGTAACTCCAGCTCACCCATAACTTTGAATGTGGAGGATGAGGAGCAACAGACTGAAAAACAGGTCAGTTAAAAGGCAATTTCAGGCATAAAAATTAAAACTTTCTACAGTACTAACTTTACTGTTATAGTATAACAAATATAATAAATAAGCATCAGTAAAAATCATTTTAACATCATTCAGTTGATGACATGACTATTGAGCTCCTTTTGTGTAGAAGGCTCTTCCCATGAGAAACACTAGACTTAATTCAGTGTGCTGGTACACTCTCAAACTTACTTTGATTTTGGTGGCTTTGCACATCTGTGACGTAAGGGCAGGATGTGGATGCACGAAGAAAATACTGAGACCTAGGGATAGCTGCCAGCGTAATGTTTTGGATGCCAAAGGGGAATGGTAGTGTTTCAGAGATAATCTAAGAAAAATACCAGCAGTCTGTTTAACCTGTTAATAACTAAATGGAGAATGGTATTTTTCTGCTCTTGTTCCAGACACTGGCCAGCAGTTAAGTAGAAATACATATATTTCTATAGATACTGAGTAAAAATGTTCCCCTATTCTCTGTAATTATGACAGACCATAACTGAGAAATCTGAGGCACAGGGGCGGTACATGAAAAATATAAAGATGCAAGCAGAAGAATAATCCTAGCTTCTGCATTCACAATTTACATAAACATTCTTATACACTGAGTCATGCCAGTCAGTGGAAGTCATTCTCATGTGTTGTCATGGGGTCCTAAAAACTAAAGAAATCTCTTAAGAATTATCAAGGTATGATGTTTTGACGGAATATTGCAATATGCAAAATTTGACCTAACATCTCCAAAGAAATACAATCTAATTTTCTAAGCAACCTGGCCTTACTTAATAGAGCTAGCTCAAAGCTGCCCATTAGGAGAGTTCAAATACTTCAACTCTACAACTGCTGTGTGTAGAAGTCACTCTCAAAGCTCGGGACCAGATGTCACAGTTCCTAGGGCACGTCTGCTCGGAGGCAGGAATATTAGCTTGGGCATAATGCCACGCTCCCGAGGTTGGACAGAATCCACACCAGAACTGGACCACAGCCAGCCTGCATGGGGTGAAAGCAGAAGGATTTAGATGCGTCTGAACATGTCCTGTCTCCACTAGCGAGTAATGAGGATCGCTTGGTGAAGTGTTTGCTGGGATGAATGGGGTCCTTAGTCTGCCCCACACTTGCTTCTGAAAAAAAAAATCGACCTGCATGCATAGTTCCAGATGTTGAGTGGCATGCAAGTTTAGCATTAATCTCAAGCACACAGTCTGCAGAGATTACTTTTGAAATTGTGGTTTCAAAAAAGAAAATTAAAAAATATTTCAGAGCTAATACTGTACAGTATTTCTAGAGAACTGCGATCGTTACACCTTTTGACCAATTTTGTTTTCCAGTTCAAGATCGAAAAGTGGCAGATTGCACTTTGTAACAAGAGCAAACCTCAAAAGTTTATAAATGACTTGATGCAAGCACTTTATACACATGAATACATGGCTACACACAGCCTGACAGGTGCAAAGTCCTCCTCTTCAAAGGATAAAGCGGCAAAACCAGCTATGAACCAGAATGAAGTTCAGGAAATCATAGGTGATGACTTGTTAACGTTACTCAATGTGGCACTGACTTGACAGAGGGCTTTCTCTGAGGGAGGGGCTGTAATGCTGAACAGCTGGTCTGCTCAGGTGATGTGCTGTGCTGTTTCATATTTCCTTCTTCGGGTACATATTTTTTTAAACCATCTGTTACAAAACCTGTCAGTGAAATGCTAAGTAGTAGTATTTCTACTGTGTGAATGTTGTGGGGTTTATCTAAGTGGCTACTCTGGCACAGTGATATTGTATGTTTTTTAGCCTTTGAAAGGTTAATCTCAAACAGTCAAACTTGGAACATGATGATAAGGGAAGGCAAAGAGAGGACACACACTTGGATCAAATTTAAAATTACGCCTGCTATATTCTGGTTAGTGATGTTATGAATTCTGACATTTTAAATAGCGCTGGAGGCAAAATGAGACAATAAGTATAGAAGACAGGAACGGTGACCAGAGAAGCAAACAAAATTTGGTTTATGCTGAGGTTTAAGGCAGAAAATGTTTGGTGCATAGGAAAAAGAATAATTTCAGATGGAAGTAGCAGCTTTAAAGAAAACAGTATTTTGTGAGCCTCATTTTTAATGGATTCACGTCTATAGCTTAGTACTTGAATGACATAGCGTAAATCCCTCTACTAGAATCCCTCCCCCATTGCCATTCCCTTGGACTTCCTCAGTTCTCTGGGTTCCCTTCCCAGCTTGGCTCCAGTGCCTGTACCTTGGTCCAGTTCTGTTGAAGCTGGCCAGCAGTTTCAAAAGTTATCAGTTGCAGAAACCTCTTTTCCTTAATAACCTATCTAGAGAAAAAGGCCCAAAGTCAAGAGAGAGAAAAGGAAAGTGTGTTTAAGGTGGTGAAAATAAGTTTAGAGGCGGTAAGATGAGACAATTTCAGAATGATGTATGAGAAAAATTAAAAATATTTGATGGGATGAGGACAGTTGGACTGTATGATCTTAATGGTCATTTCCAACCTAAATGATTCTATGACTCTAAGAGGTACTAGTGACTTTTCTAAAGGTGGATTCTGGGGAAGGCTCTAGGCAAAACTGACAAGGGAAGCAGAGAAGATAACTAGGGCATTGAATGCAGCATGCTGCAGAGAATTCAGTGACAACAGGGAGCCTAGAGAGAAGTCAAAGAACACTCCTGAATTCAAATAGAAAAGCATCAACATTATACAAGAGAACAAGAAAAATAAGAAGGAAGCCTGGGAGTTCTAGGGCTGTAGAAAATGAGTTAGTAGATCAGATTATTTAAAGAAGATGGAAACTGTAAGACTTTAAAATGCAATGAAAGGGGGGAAAAAATCAAAGGAAGGGAATGGAGAAGAAGGGAGCAGGAATCACATTCCTGATGTTGAGTCCTGTTAGTGTTGCATTTGAAAAAGTTAGCCAGGCAAAATAGAAGAGAATTTTTTACAAAAAGAGACATAACCTGCAAATGACAATTAATGAACAAAAACTAAGATCCAGAGGCATGAGGACTGATGAGGATAGGAAAAGGACTCTCTGATCAAGAACAGAACAAAGGGAGGGAGGATAAGCAAACGCAAATCATCACTACAGGAAGCCCTTGTGGCCCTGGAGTTCCCTTTGAGTCTGCCAAAAGCAGGCACAGCAATATGGGAGGCACAGAGAAAAACAAGAGCTGGCACGTGCAAAATCTATAACGTAGTGTGTGAAGGCAGCAAAGTAACTAGAGCTGAAACTGAAGTAGCTGGAAATTTCAAAGCTGTAATAAATGCATTTTAGATCACACATCTGTTGCTTCCCTGATTTGGAGGCCTCATATATCTCGTCTCTTTATTTTGCAGGAATCACAAAACAGTTGTTTCCAAACACAGATGATGCTTTAATTAGGCGAATGATGGGACAAAAACTGAACAATTGCACCAAGAAGCCAATTTTAAGCAAAGATCTTAACTCAGGTGCTTTTCAGAAGCATAGCTTTTGGTAAGTCTTAAAAAAAAATAATAATTGTAGCCTGCAATGTGTAATTCCATATATTACCCTGTGGTAACAAAATTTAAAAGCAATCTTAAAATTACCATGAAGGTACGTGTTCATATATGCATTGCCACGTAGGTAAATATTTTCAGAACCTTGTACAAAAAGTACATAATACAGAAGCAGTCCAGCTTAACATTACAGCACAGAAGTTGTTCATTCTAGACAAAGCAGCACAAGGCTATTAAATTACAGGAAGAGAATACAGAAGTAAACATATGGAGTTACTTTGATCAATATGTTTATTTTAGATTTGGCATTATTTACTTTTCTTATTATTCTCTGGAGACTTTCCAGAGACTAGTCAATTCCATTTTCACGTCACCTGTTGTTCCTCAATTAACCCACAAGGAAAGATAAGGAAAATCACACCTTTTTTGCACCTACTGATAAAAGTACCTTAGGAGAGCTAAATTAGCAATCTTTTACCACCAGAAGAGTCTAAATTATCGGGGCAAAGCAATTACTAAATAACATCTTGCTTATTATGGGCATTCTTCCCTTGTGAACAAGCCTACTGTAAAGTTCCTGAACTCATCCCTATCATCAGTGAAGTCAGCTATTTGCATTTGTTTCCACACATACCGACTGTACGTATCACAGAATAGTTGAGGTTGGGAGGGACCTCTCTAGGTTGGCTAGTCCGACCCCTGCTGCTCAAAGCAGGGTCACATAGTCCAGGTTGCTCAGAGGCACGTACAGGTTAGTTGATTATCTCCAAAGATGGAGACTCCACAACCTCTCTGAGCAAGCTGTGCCAGTGCTCAGTCACCCTTACAGAGAAAAAGTGTTTCCTGATGGTCAGACAGCACCTCCTGTGTTTCAGTTTCCACCCATTGCCTCTGGTTCTGCCACTGGGGACCGCTGAGAAGAGGCTCCATCTTCTTTACACCCTCCTATCAGATATTAATACACATAGATAAAATCCGCTTGAGCCTTCTTGAGGATAAACAGTCCCAGCTCTCTCAGCCTTTCCTCAGGAACAGGATAAGAGATTAACAAGGAGCAGGATAAGAGATTAAAATCAGTGAGACCAAGAGAACAGATTTGTCCTTATTTAGACTTTCCATACTGAGGTACTACTTTACTTCTTCCTAGTTCAGTTATCTCGTGCGTGTTTTAAAATCCATGCTTGCAACTGTAAGACATTTCATAATCAAAAAAAAAACCCACACCAAAACCCCCAAGATATTTGACTATTTTAGAACACAATTATTTGAAAAGTAGCAGCGCTTGGCTACTAAAATTCCTCTCTAAACCACCTGGTGGTACTCCATGGACCACCAGTGGTCTGTGAATGACTGCTTGAGAAATACTCAGATAATATCTATTGGAAGAATTCACATAAACAGGTTTCCCATCTGGAAACAATAAACAAATGCACCAGCCTGGCTAAAATACAGTTTACTAGATTAATGCTTTTCTCCTAGAGATGAGAAGGCTTCGTAAAACAAAGGCCCTCTGTATTTGTAACATACAGCATGCATGGATTCACTGTAGTATTTTTCCTTGTCTTTGACACAGGTGGTAAAAATAACAGCACAGAAACACAAACTCTGTCTTCTTTGAAAGTATTAAATCTTAAATATTTTATATTTTAAATCTTTATCTTCATCAGAGGAATCCATAGATTTTGCTAATTCCTGTGTCTTTTCACATACAGACACAGAATTCCTGAAGCCTTGACAGGACTATCTTCAGCTAGCACTATAACAATTCTGGGCTGCTTTTTAATACTGCCTATAGACTTTAAATTTAAACTTGATATCTTAAAAATGTCTTTATGTCTGTTATTGATAAGTGCTTATATAAAATCCAGTCCAACGTCCATTGAAATCAATGCAGATATTGTCTGCGTAGTCTCTCTCGAATGGATGCTTATTAGAATGCCTTTATAATGGATTCATTTTACAGCTGCTCAGAATTTCCTCACTGTAAAAGCATTTAAGCACCTCACAAGTAATCAGGATAATGGTGGTGATTCCTTTAACTCAGATGACACAAGTTTTCTCTGTAAGAAAATCAGAAGAATTTAAAAGTGCTCATAATCTCAGTGTTAGTCCCTCCAGTTCACCTTCCAGCAATGAAGTACAGAGAGGGGTCAAGGGAAAATCCTGTTGTGCAGTACATTTAGTAACAACTTACACTCAAGTTACTAACTTTTAAAACTGGTGATGCTGCAGTTTTGGTCTCCTCTCTTGCTGCTCCTCCTTCCTTGCCCACCTCCTCTGCCTTTCCCCAGAATACAATTACAATTCAAGAGAAAGAATTTGGAGTCAAATCCAATGAGGCAGAGAAGTCGCCCTCTCAGATCCATAAGGCTGAGGTGAAACAAGGAAAAGGGGAACGTGTCAATGAAGAAAACTAGTTAACTAGCTAATGAACAAACTCTGCTGCTTGGAACTAAGAACTGTAGTAATTGCACATTTAATGTTAATATCTCAAGCTTAGTTATAAATTGTCTCAACAGTGCTTCAACAGCTGCTCCTCAGGGCATCATCTCTTTGGCGGTTCCTCCCAGTACACAAGACCAGCAGGATGATGATTCACCAGCTGCTAATGCACAAATTCAGCAGAGTGACAGCCGTCCGACCCCTCCACCTCCCGCCCCGCAAGGTCAGCAGGAGTGTTTCAAACCCGCTTCTAAGGTGGAGTCTCATCTCGCCAGAAGCTCACCAGCGCCCTCTCCCAACCAGGGTTGTGGACAGGATCTCAGGAATTCAGACAAGGTATAACAACAGAAGGTGTTTCATACCAGTTCAAATTCTCAACAGAGATTAAGGCATAGTATAAAATAAAAAAGAAATAATATCTAAATGGGCCTAGCAACAGTGGACAGAGATGCTGCAAGCAGAATAGAAGCCTGAGAAGCATTTTCTCAAACAAATGAAAATCCCACAGCCTAGAAAAAAATGAAAGCGTATTAATATCTTTGGCTTTAAGATATTATTAAATATATGCATGTTATGCAATAATTCAAAAAATGTAAACTTGTTCTGAAGAATATAACTAGAGTTTCCCTTAGATAGAAAAAAAAATTTTAAAGTAATACCAAAAGAATGTATAAAAGGAATCTTAATCCCCTTGCTTTCACTTTGACAGCTGGTGAAAAACTGCTTTACCAATCAGAGAAAGCTATTGCATATTAATACAAAAAAAGACATAGAGGTATGAAAAGAGAACAGAAAAATTTCCTAGTGAAATGAAGACTATGGCCGGCACAGGGTTATGAAGCGCAGGGCCACATGAGCAGAGAAGAAGAAATAAAATAGATTCTTAAGGATTCTGTTAACTTGGAAAGAAGAAAACATTCTTAGGGCGATGAAGCTGCAGCTCTCAAGTTGTCTGCAGGAAAGAAGCAGCTCATTTTTGACCTTTGAAAGTTGGAGAGGCAATGACAGAAGCCATGTTCCCTCTTAGGTCAAGGAAGAGTCCTCCAGCATAGCCTGTTTGGTTGTGGAGGCCATGGCTTCTCTCACAGGCCTTCTGCTGCTGGTACTCTGCTGCTTTGGCAACTCTCACTCTCTCTTCTTCCCTGAACATCAGGTCCGTAGGATAAGGGTGCCTGATGCCTCCAGTCAGGAAATGGAGGACAATCTCTTGGAAGCAACTAGTAAAGGGCAGAGTTGCCAGACTCTCTGTTTCAATTTTTGTATGCTACCTCTTGCTTAGAGAGATAGTGGACAGGTAGAGCATTCCTCGTGGGGCTAGGACCAGAAGAATCCCAGTAACTGTGCAGTTCCTCTTGAGATCTGATACCGCTTGTCCCAGGGAGCAGCTGGCAGTCACACACACTGTAATTGCCTGAGGAGGTGGAGGGAAGGTACATTTTTTCCTCGCTGACTGATTCCAGGTTTACAGTGTGACAGTACCATGGGAAGGAGAGAACACTTGGATTTATAACTTCCGTGCTTGAGTGTACTTCTCCCAGAACAGAGAGTACTAATAGTTAAATCTGTTTCATACGTGGCAAACAAGCAACAAAGGAATCAAGATGGAAAAACATCACCCAACATAAAGTTGAAGAAATCTTGATTTGAGGAGGAGTTCTATAACGCAGGAGATCTGAGTTTCAGAAATAAATTAGAAATAGTATTAGGGTGAATGGCAGGAAAAAAATCTGAAGATAAGGTTAGCAGTCAAATACCTCTGCAGCGAAGTGCTGCAAACCTAACTGTTCTAGAACACTGCACCAATAAAATGCACTGTGGAGACGACTTCTGTGGGCTGGGGTATAAACTAAGTGATCTGCTGGCCTTTTTCATCTCTCATGTCTATCAATTCCTTGTAGATAGGATCAGGATGAAAGCAGGTATGAAATAGGATGTAAGTTCTATCTCATGTTATTAACTACGATCTATAAAATGTAACAGAAGGATGTTGGCTATTATGTACATTTTGTATATGTAATTGTATGTACAGCATATAAGAATGTATATAGTTAATCATATTTTTGAAGCAACTTTCTATCAAATAAAATGGAACATTACTATGTCTTAGTTCTATTTTATTGTCCTTAGTGTCTTCTGGGCCTTTTCTAATATCAACCTCTGTTGTACACTCTAACATGTAAGGTTGGGGTTTTTTCTCTCGCTTTTTTTTTTCTCTTTTTATTTAATAAATTTTCTGAATCCAGCTTCTGTAAAGCTTTAGCTTTAAATTTTTAGCTGGGGAAGGGGTTGGCCCACCTTACAAGGGCTCTCTAACCTTAAAGTTGTCACAGCTGACGTTGCACAGTGTTGCGAAAATGGGGAAATAAATCCGGTCTGGCACCGAATATGTGACAGATGCAAATTGGGAGACAAATAGTAATCATGTATTTACAGCAACATTTACAGGTTCTTTTGGATTGCCGGTGATAAATTAAAAGCTACAGGTATAACTAAAGGTTTATCACTAATATAACAACAACACGCACTATACGCACACACATAATAACAACTTGCCCGCTGTAGGCCCGTCCGCCTGGCAAATAGACAAGTCCATCAAACAGAGATACAGCAGAACAAGAGACAGTAAAGTCGCGACAAACAAGAATCAAGGATACACTCAAGGAAGCGTAGAAATGCACCTGAGGAGAAAATGTGAAATGCACCCGGGGAGGAAAAGTATATCTCTCAGCATTAGCTGAGGTAAATAATCTTACCCACAAGGTGTCCTGAGTAGGGGGGATGGAGAAGGAGCGAATTCGACAATCCGTCTGGTCGTCGGTATGCCTCCTAGTTGATCCTGTCCCGATTTTTGGGCCAAAATTGAGGTGATATTTATACTTAAATTTTTACGTTACATCACTGGGGTATAGGTGTGGGTGAGGATGACTATAGACAATCTTATCACTTATGTTAATGCTACGAAGTCCGTTAATTTACACCTGCATGGGTGGAGGTAGTGGGTCCTTTTGTTTAGGGCAAAGAGAATGGGGGACTGGGACCACGAGGCCTCTGCCCCATTTCACACTCCTCCGGGCATCCAGATAACACCAGATATCGATCTAGTGATGGTTGCCACCTCACCCAATGCTGTTTCATGCTTCCAGGCACACATCTACATGGTGTATGTGACTTGGACTTTGTGACTAACTTTGCTGTCTCTCTACACACAGCTGCAGCTGTTCTGCTGTTCGGGAGGGGCAGAAGCACTTGGGCAGGCACACGGAGCCAAACATGAGGGGCTGATCTCCCTGTCGCTGGGGCAGCACTGCCGATCTCGCTGCACTATGTGCTTTTCTATTCTGCTGACCTGGCACGTCGTCAAAGGCAAACCAGTGGGGCTGGCAGCTCACCACAAAGAGTAAGGGAAGGGTCTGCTCCCAGGCATGGGCCAGGGAGAGAGATGGGTTCTGGACAAAAAGAACAACACAGAGAAGGAAACATTTCAATGTTTTACCAAAGGGTAAAGAGGGAGCAAGCTGCAAAGAGCCAGTATAGGACTAATGTTATCCCACTGGATAAAAAGATAAATAGCTTTTATAGAACTAGACAGTTAACAGAAAAGCCGTACTCCTTGCAGTATGACCAAAAAGGAAGAAAATACGACTGGTTTTCCAAAATGACCCTTGCAAACTGAGAACACAAAATTGAAGACCAGATAATCACAGTTCAGAAGCTTTAGAAGTAATAGAAAGGGAGGGGAGAGCAGAACAGAGCAGTCTCATGCTGCTTCTCCCAAAATTCGCACTAAAATCAAAATTAATTTGCGATATTCAAATGTGTGGTGTCACGAAGCGTAGAACTTCTGCTATGAGTGACAGAGGACACATGATTTGCATTACTAAGAACTGGAGAAGGCTGACGGCTACTGCAGAAAAACCTACAGCTATATGACTGTACAGCATTTAGTAACTGGAGATTTAGTACTGAAAAGGTCAGCAATACTAAAACTAATAATTTGAACTATTTGTTTCTATTACTGCAGTTTAGATTGAATTTGAAGATTACCATGGAAAAGTATTTGTTAATTGTTTATTATGAACTGCTCAGTAAGCACACTTGCTTTCTAAGAAGGGAAGAATATGGAGATATGTGAAAATGCAATAAAAAACTTCCTGAAAAAGTACACTGTTGAATAAATTGGGGGTTTTAATGCATGTCAAGTTCATGTCCCCTCTCATTATGACAGGAGTCAAAAAAACCCAAACCACCAAACATGTACATTTTCTAGATCAAGAGTAAGTGGCAGTATGCAATGTTGACACGAGAGGGAAATCGATGGTTAAAAAGGCAATGTTTCACTCCCCTTAGGAGCAAGGAGAGAAACAAGGATGTTGAAATATGTTTAAATTCTGCAAAATAAAATAATTAAGGCCACACAATGAATATGTAGAATTCATTGCTAGCATTATCAAGTTTATAAAGACAGTCTGCTCAGAAACAGCTTCCACATCCTATACAATACCCAGACTTTGTTTGGAGGCTTGGGCATGGAGAGCTTAGCTCGTATCCCCTGCTCTCCTAGGTTTGTCTGCTCCCACCTTCGTCAGTCCACTGCCTGTGTTTAAAAAACGTTGCCTGCTCTCCTACAGTTAGATAGTGAATGTTCCTTGCCGGTGGCCCACCAGACAAGAAGTCCAGCAGGCTACATCTCTTCTCCATGAAAAGCATAAGAACTTTCCCAAGCTGACCCAACCTCGGAAGCCTGTGCTTTCCCAGGAATTAGTTGACATCTCCAAATTTTGAAATTCAGAGTTTTGTTTGCATACTTACTGGAAATGCTGACATAACCGCATGGCAATTCCCTTACTATTTTTTCTTCCTGATTGTACTGTTTAAATATGAGGAGGATGTTCGGATGGGTCATTGCAAGAGTAAACATCTACATGAATTACAGCTGAGAAATTCATATTCAAATGAGTGTCATTTCATCAAGTATCAGAGTTTGGAAAAATAATGCCACCCTGCTGTCCTAGTAACTTGTTCCTCTCGTGCCTCATATTATCTCTTCTCAAGAATCGAAAGTAATTAAGTGCAAATGCAAGCTACAAACAGAATGGCTGCTATCAACATTCTGTTAGCAAATTTAAGTTACGAATGCAAAATATGAAAGTTTAGGCAGCAACAACGACTTTAATTTTCCAAGTGGTAGTCAGGTCTCCACTATTCTAGTAATGAAATAAAATTGCTCAAATCTGTTGTTGTTGTGATTAAGTTGTACAAATTTGTTAACTAGTATGTTTTAATTAGCAATGAAACAGTAGAAAACAAAACCCCAAGAATCATATCTCACAGAAGGG